TCCCTCTCCCAACCTCACTTTGTCAGATGAGGTCAGATCAGCGCCGCCAGCCGGGAGATGACGACTCGCCTGCTGATCGATATCATCTCGGCAGCCCTTGGTGCACCACACAGGCACTCCGCGCAGCCCTACAGTCGCCAAAAAGAACAGGAGATCGGCAGCCGCTCAGCCTTTAAGCTCGCGGATGTGTGCTGGTCGCAATTTCCTTTGTCTGATCAGTCTGCCATCTGTCCATCGATTCATGTTGACTAGTTCACTCCATCAACCACGCTGAGCCGCACACATCGCATCTACAGCCCTGCCCATCCCATGGCTGTGAGGGATCCCATCTAAGATATCATTGTGTGTCTGTGGTGTCTACACCGGCCATCAGACAGACCCGTATGCATATCACCCGCCTCGCTCTAACAAACCGCCATCATTACGCGCACACGTCACTCGCACACAGCCACCCTGCCACAGACACCGACAGAGAGCCACAGCGGACGCAGCAGTAGATAAAGACTACACCGCGCCCTTGATTCTGTCTGTCTGAGAGCGAGTCGTGTGGGAGGGTGGGTGCTTGGCACACACCCACACACAGACGGCATGCACAAAAACAGCTCAACTTGGCTTGGCTATGTATCAATCAGAGGGCTTGGCTATGTGTGGGTGTGGGGGGCGAGGTGAGAGCAAGACAGACAGACAGACTGACTGAGTACCTAATTGGGTGGTCGATCGGCTGGCTGTCCCACGTGGTGATGCTCGCCTTGACATCCCACGCACAAAAGGAAGACGGGTCAGTACTGACACGCCAGCCATCCCCTGAGTCCCCCCCAACACACTTACACACAGTCGACAAAAGGTCAAAGAAACACCGACACGCTGACTGACTTCCCCTGCCCCCCCAGTCAATGGAAAACAAAAGACGGAGAAACGGAGCGATAGACCGACGACGACAAAGAGAACCCCACGACAGACACCACCCACCCACGGCACCCAACCCTCCCTCCATCCGACCGATTGTATTTGTGTCCATCACACAGTGCCCCTCTCCTCAGCTCTTCAAGGAAGCGGCCAGAGGAAGGCAAACAGCAGTGATGGGCTGACTGGCTGTAGTACGACGGCTGTGGGGGCATCAACCCAAACACAACACGCAATGCATTGCAATGCATTGCATTGCATTGCCCCGCCCGGCCCGTCCCGTCCACCGCTGCCCATCGATCCCCCGCTACTCCTGAGGAGCGGCGAGGTCAGAGCACCAGGGGACTGACTGACTGACGAGGGCATGCGATGCGCTGCGGTGACAAAAAGACCGACCGACAAACGACGACAGCCACACCTCTGACCTGTCTGTCTGCCCGTGCCCACGTGACGCAGCAAGCAGAATAAATGGCCTCGCCCAATCAGACAGGCAACACATATAAAATGCCGCACACTACTAGGCGCATACTTGTCTGTCTGTCAGTCAGTCAGTCAGTCAATCTACCTGTGACCTTTGCGAAGGAAAGCCGTCTACCCGTGCCCGCCTGTCTGCTTGTGTCCGTCGTATCCCTCCTCGCCCATCACTCTGCTGTAGGGGTACCTTGCAGCTGCAGACCACACACACACACCGACATGCAAAGGTGGCGGCGGTCCCATAGACGATAGACGCGTGAAGACATTGTGAGCACTCATATAGGCCTCCACTCTCCCAGGCAACTCTGATCTAAGAGACATACACACACGTGTGTGCACACGGATCCGTGTGGCTGTGCGCGTGTGTCTGTCTGTCTGTCTGCGTGAGGTGGTTCTTGATGGTCACCTGGATGAGCAGGGTGTTCTTCTCGAGCGACTGGGTGCGATGACGCCGGTCGGGGGGCGTCGGGGCGATACACACCTGCACACATACGGATGGACCTAACTTGGATGGACCGAGTTACAGAGGGGCGTGTGAACACGTACCATCGTGCACGAAGATGTCCCGCTGCCGCACCTATCACAGACATACCCATTTCTTCATGGCTTCCCACTCTTTGTTCACATCGAGCGGCCTCTCCTTCGGCCTAACACAAACAACACACACACACACAGGCAGACACAGAGGCGTCCACAGACACAAGCATGTTATCTGATAGCTGTTCTGTGCCTGTGCACAGCTGCACGTTACCTGGCGTCAAGTAGGTTCCCTCGGACCCCATTGCACGCACGCCGCTGCTATGGCGAGAGGGAGAGCACCACAACGCCCAGATTGCCGGCGCTGCGTGTCGGTGGTGAAGTGGCAGATGCGCTGCCGCACAGCTGCATGCCACACAACGACACACAGACAGCCGGCTGATTCTGGCCGGTCCCCGTGGCACATCCCTGTGTGTGTGTGTGTGTGTGTGTGTGTGTGTGGTGTTGTTCTGGTGAAGTCGACGGCCCTCAGCTGCAGCAGTGTCCGGCGTCATGACGGCCGCAGACAGACAGACAGACAGACAGACATCTGCAGCACAGCACACAGAGAGATGACAAGCAGCCGTCTTCCATCATTGCGAGGCATCAGCCGTCCGTCACTCATTCATTCACTCAGTCACTTATCTGATTGACTCGCCGCATGTGTATCTGTGTTACCGACCTCAGCTGAGAAGGCAAAGTGGACGCCGGACGACAGATCTCCGCACAGGGCCGTCAGAGGGCTGCGCACCAAGCCGAAAGAGGCCAAAACACTGGAGAACCGATGAGCTTCAGGGTTCGAAGGGTCAAAGGGTTTCATACCCTTCAACCCTACAAGAGGGCGAATGCGGCGTCTGTGCCGTGTCATAAAGCTGTGCGTCTGTGAGAGTTGACGCACTCGGCCGACAAGAGGGCGAGAGGAATACTCGAATCAGTCATCCTTTCGACTGCTGCGGTGAGATGACGGGCCATTGAGCTGACAGCTCAACAAAAGTGAGGGAGACGAATACTCACCTACTCACTGACTGATGCGCTCACTCATCCAGTCGCCTCAATGCGTTCGCCTCTCTCTCTCTGTGTGTCTGTCGGCCCATCGCTGCAGGCGTGTCGTTGAGGAGTGATGGCGGCCTCCTCATCTGCCGCTGCTGGTGGTGGTGGTGGTGGATTCAGTTCTCTATCTGGTGATCTGTCCATCTGATCATCGAACCAGGTGAGCAGCACACAGATCAGTGAGCAGCATGCTTGATGCACACGATCCTCTGTCGGCTCTGTCGCTCTGTGCAGGCTGTCGTCGAGCGCATCATAGCCCAGATGCAGCAACCGCAGCAGCAGCAACAGCAGCAGCATCCCTTCTCGTATATCTTCGTCGGCCGCCGCACCTACTACCTCTTCAGCAGCATCAAGGACATCCTGCGGCTGAGGGCCACCTGCACATGGCTGAGAGATCTCTTCGGAGCGGCCCAGCTGAGAGTTCGGCTCAGCCACTCGCTCGGCTCACAGGCGGGGCTGCGGCGGGCGGTGAATGGGCAGCAGGTGCAGCTGCTGCGGTTCGACGACGACCACTTCGGCGCCCATGATCTGCTGGCGGCTGTGTGTGTGGTGGAGGAGGGGCCATGGGGCGAGATGGGCGAGGTGATTGAGCTGGCGGTGCAGTGCCGCAACTGTGACCTGCCTGTCATCCTCACAGCCGATGACATCAACACACACGCAACCAAAACGGTGAGCCAGCAAACAGAGGGGCGGGGAGGGGAGGGAGAGGGCGTCAATCTCTCTCTGTGTGTCTGTGTGTGTGTTTGTAGGCATATGTGTCGGCTCCCCGTGTGTTGGCGCAGCTCAAGATGGTCGGCAGCCACTTCCACTTCAGCGACGGCAGCTGCCTGCAGCTCTTCCACCACAATGGTGAGGTGCGGGCCATCAAAGACCAGCCCGGCCAGCCCGGCTTTCGGCTGGAGGTCGACCCGCCCCTCCCCGCCAACCATCTGTACCGGCAGCACCGGCAGCCACACGACCCACCAGTGAATAGCCGCGACATCTACTGGTCCCCCTACCACGTCAGATGGCGCGTGGGTGGTGGCCGGTTCACCCAGGCGTCATTGTCGTCGTTTGCCAAGTACGTGATCTTCGACCACTTCTAATGGACTCACCACATCGAGAGCACATCGACAACACTCAACAGGTAACACACCAACGGAATCACTCTGGTCGGGTGGGCACCCACAAGTCGTTTGTTGATGTCTGTTTGTTCAGACGTGTCGGTGGCGGCCGTGTGGATGGCCTGCTGACCGAGTCGCCCCACACACCGGTGGCCGGCTGCAGCACCACAGTCAGCCGCCGACAGCTGGTGCTCACCGACTGCAGCCACAACTTCGTCGCCTGGATCTTCATCAGCGAATCAGGAAACAACGACGGTTCGTGTGACAGAGAGGGCGGGATTGTTAATGGCCAGATGTCACATATTTTCCTTCCCCTTGTCTGCAGTGAGTGTGCGTATCGAGACCACTGAGGCGGCTGTGTGTGAGAGCGGTTTGTTCAAGCACCGCTTCCCGTTGACCACTCAGCTGGCTCGTGTGGCGTTGGGGGCGGTGGCGCCGTACGTCTTCGACGGACTAGTAGAGGGACAGCAGCAGCAGCAGCAGCAGGATGATGACGATGACGATAGCGACGGTACGAGCGCACACACACAAGATGGATGGAAGATGGGCCTTCTCTCTGTGTGGGTGTGGTCTGCAGATTCCGACAGCGGTGATATCGATAGCGATGAGGGTGACGATATGGACGACGGCAGCGGAGGTACACGGGAAGGACGGCACAGCCACACACATCACGGAGGCCCTCACATTGGCCTGCATCGCTTTCATTTGTGTGTGTGTCCTGTGCACTCGACAGGTGAAGATGCCGCAGCTGAGGCGAACAGCGGCGACTGATCGATCCATCGACTTGTCAATACTGGTGGGCGAGCAGCGGTGCACACCCTCTGTCACGTGGCTGATGTCGCCCTGGCTGAACATGTGTGTGTGTGCGTTGTCAGGGGGTGTCTCTTGGGTGCTGACTGTCATCGTGTCGGTAGCCAATTCGTCTCTCCAAGACACATCGCACACCGCTCACACTGTAGACAGACCAGCTGCTGCTGATATGTGACCGAATGGCTGGCTGGCTTACTGTGTGGTCGAGACTTCCATGCCTCTGATGTGTCAGTTCAGGGGGTCTATGGCTTCGCTTATTTGCCCGTGCGTCGCTCTTCTCTGTGTGTAGCCCTCTCGCCCTCTGTCCCTCTCTCAGTCTCGCCTTCTGTCTGTATGTCTGAATGAGATATCCGCCCGTCCTCATGGCCGGCGGCCTGGGGGTGCATCTCGTGCGGTCCTGCCGGCCGATTTTGATGTGATGCTTCGGCCGGTGTGTGAATGTGTTTGCCTGCCTGGCTGACTCACTGGCCATGCCCCTCTCTCGATGGCTGTGCGGTGGAATGTGTCTGCGTGTGTGTGCCGTGACGGCCGTGGAGTGAACTCACTGTGCACACTCAGAGTTCACTCAAAGTCGTCAAGTGACCGACTGAGTTGACCTAGTGAAGTGCTCCCACACACAAATAGGCCGACTGAGACAGTGCCTCTCCCCACACAGAGAGAGATGCCGCCGACCCCAACCAGCCAGCCAGCCAGCCAGAGAGACAGACAGGCCACTTCACGCTGCCGGCAATCATAGAAGGCGCCGCGCAGCCCCGCTCACTCGTGAATGAGAAGAACCCGCCGTCCTTAATATGTTGACATGGCCGTCTGGGCGTCCGTGTCGTCTGGGTGTGCACTGCTCACACACACAAACCCCAGCCAGCCAGGGGCCAATCGGACGGACAGGATTGTTGAGCTCCGTTGGTGTGCGACAGACCGTTCAAAGGAAAGCCGTCCATCGACCGACCGACACGTACGTATGATACGCATCCACATGAACGGGGCAGTGCACAGACATCTGAGTGAAATGCGAGTCGTGCAGCTTTCGACTGGTTGGCACTGTACAGGCATTCATAGCTGGTTGCATGAGAGCCACGGACACACCTTTCAGTCACAATCACGTCATGGATGGTCTGTTGTTTAAACCGCACGGACACCCACATACACCACTCGTGGACACACAGAAACGTTCACCCAACACCCAACACACACAGTGTCACGCAGACGAGCATCCATCCATTCATCCATCCATCAAAGACGACTAGGCAGATCCCCCCTGTCCCCGCTCCCATTCCCCTGTGCACGTGCATGCGACACAGTAGCAGCGAGGCCGATCTCGCCTCCCTCACTGCAACTCACTGGGCCATCAATTTGAGTATGAACCCATATATCCCAACACAAATGATATTTGCATTCTTTCACACTGTAGTGCGGTGCGGCCTGCCTGACGCGCTCATCCGCAAACGAGCGGAGGTCGGCCAGCTTATCGGCCTCGCTGTACCCCTCCAAACAACTCGCAGGCAGCCCTACATCCAACAACACACTCGCTGGTCGCAGAGCTAACGATAACTTGATGAACTCTGCCACGCCTGCCTTGCTCCTGAAAGTTGCTCGCATGAGATAGCGGCAGCCAACCCCTGACAGTCTGTCAGAGGCGTCCGCCGGCCACGGCCACTCACTCCTCACCCTCCTCACCCCACAACCATCCACAGCAAGGTCGACCAGATCTCGCTGCTCTACAGTGAGATAAGAGAGAAACTCACAGACGGCAGCAAGGCTAGACACACTATAGAGGCAGACGCTCTTCAGTGATGTCAGTCCGCCCAGAAGCGGGCTGAGCTTGCTACTGGCGGCACGCAGGTCAGCCAGGGACAGCAAGAAAAAGGACATGCTCAGGTGCTCGACAGCGGGGAAGCATCGGCTGGTCGCCCCGTTCCTCTCCGTCAACCATGTGGGGATGCTGTCGATCAATGCCGATGTTCTCGCGTCCTCGTCGGCAAATATGCTGATTCTCCTGGCCTTGTGGAAGATGAGCTTGTCACGCCATGAGTCGTGCAGCGCTGTGCCACCGAGCTTCAACACAATCTGTGGCATTGGGACACACAGACAGATTGGGACACACACAGACACACAGAGACAGCGCTGCACACCCTCTCTGGTGCACTCCTTCCCTCCCTCCCTCCCTCCGTGTCTGTGCGTTCCTTACCCCTGTTGCATCGGCCACCAGCTGTCTTGTGATCTCTCCGTAAAGGCCGGGCGCTGGAGGGGCAATGGCATCGCTGTTGCTGCAGTCGATCGTCAAGCTCTCGCACGACGGTCGCCAATCGAGCTGGCACTTGACGTCGTCCGCCCACCTACGGAATGCCTCGATGGTGAATGCCACCTGCTGGCCGTAGTCCACACCGATCGAGGCATCCACCACGAAGTCGAGCTTCTTCGGCACCTCTGCAACGGGTAAGCCACATACATGCAAGTCATCTGCCCCCCCTGACTGAAGTGATTGGGTGTTTGTGGTCACGTACCTTTCTTCTCTGGTTGGCTCCAGTGTCGGTTGAGGGTGTCCTTGAGCTGAGTGAGGCAGCCGAAGTCGATGCCGATCCCGATGCCGGTGACGGTGGTGAGGAAGGGGCACTTGGCGAGGGCATCGAGGAACTTGGCCCACTGGTCATTGTCGAATTCTATCAGCCAGTCGGCCTCCAGCCGCTCGATCTTGGGCGACTGGCGGAGCAGACGCACCAGGGAGGCGGCATCCTCACTGCGGATGCAACCGGGGCGGCGCAGTGTGCTGAGTGCCGGGAACCTCCACCCGAGATCACTGCAGACACACAGACGTCGTCCTAAGAGATGAATGACTACGCTATTGCGTCAACGCTGACTCCCCTCTGTGCGTATCTGATGAGCTTAAGCCCTCCGGCCCAACGGACGTCCAGGTCGGTGACGGATGAGAACACGATGGGCTCGGCATCCGACGTCCTTGAGCCGTACATGAAGTCCAGGGTGATCTTCCTGATTGAGTCCTTGTTGGCCCCCAGCAGCTTCGGCACCACAGGCGGGATCCAGGGGACATGAGCCACCTGGGTCTTGCCCTGTACACACACACACACACAGACACAGACGACAGGTCGCGTCCCACCATTTGTGTGTTATCCATTCGTTCATGTGTCCACGCCACCTCTCTCACCAAGTGCTTCGTATCCTTGTTCACGTCCCGAATCTTGCTGTAGCTTTCCCCCTCGTCACACGTCATGGTGAAGTGTCGGAATACGCCGAAGGTCTCGTCGGTGGCCATCGTGTGGATGTCCTTGTTGACCTTGGCCAGCCGGGCTGCCGTCTTGGTGGTGACGAAGGAGCCCATGTTGCTGAAGACGTCCTCAGGCAGACCCGACAGACACGGACGACCGTATTTCTGACACACACATGCAGACATGTGCACACTGGTAGAGGTCATGGTGTCTGCCACTTCTCTGTGCCAGTCACCTTGGGCTTCTTCATCGGCTTTTTTGTCCGCTCTGCAGGACCACACACATCCACCGACCCACCTGAAGGTACCGTACCACACACACAGCACAACAAACAAGGCATAGAGCAGTCATGCCGGTGCGGTGCAGACGATCCGATCCATCATTGGGTTGGTGTACCTGCGGCAGCAGCAGCGGCAGCCGGCTCGACATCTACAGGTCTACGCTTGCTCTCGCCCTCATCACCAGCAGACACCTGGATGAACACAACTCAAAGAAGCAGCACGGATGGGACGCCATCGCCATGAGCTGAGCTGGTCCACCTGTGTGCGTTGCAGTTTTGCCTGTCCTTACCGCTGTGGATTTCTGTGGTTTGGTGGCAGTCCCAACCACTGCACCGCCCGGCCTGCTGTCATTGACATTGCTATGCCATCGGAACCCCTTGCCGCCAATGCGCTGACATAGACACACAGAGGAGAGTGATCGGCCAGTGTGAGCCATTCATTCAGCCGTCATCCCATCCTTACCGCCAGGCCTTTGGTGAGGGCCGAGTCGGTGTCGCTGAGAGTGTTCCGAACGGCTGCCAGACTGTCCGGCTGCCACAGACAGCAACACGAAAACACACTGAGTGGTGCTGTTCGGGTGGCTGTGTGGTGCTTCGTGCGGACCTGTGTGGCGTTGTCGCTTTGTAAGGCTATGATGTGGTCCGCCCGCTCAGCATCAGAGGCAATCTGAGAGGCGACCTGCACGGCAGAAGAGCCAACAACACAGTGACGTCACTCATGCTGTGTGTGTGGAGCCCTTTTTCCCCCGCTCACCGACTGTATCTGTTGCAGAAGCTCTCGAGAGCTACCACAGCCATGATCGGCACCCTGCCCGCCGCCCTGCTCACCTGCAGCACACATCGTCCGGAAGAATAAGGCATGACACACCGTCCATCAGTTGTGTGTGTGGTGATGACGGTGTGACCTGCAGAGGCAGCCGGGCTGTCAGCTTTGTCTATATCCATCGGAGCACTGTCTAAGTCCATCAATCCGCTTTCAGCGCCTCTCCTGACTAACACACCGAATTAACACGAATGACTATTTTGTTTTTCTGCATCTCGTCTGCCCTGCCTGCCGGCCTGCCTGTCTCCCTTCCTCAGCGTGTCTGTTTGCTTGCCTGTTTGGCTGATGGTCAGCGCCGCTGAGATGAGATGACAGTGATCAAAACACCGCCCCGCATTCCACTGACATACATCCTTCTCTGCGATAGTCAATCGCCAAAGTGTACTCTCCTTCCTTTCTGAGCTCGCAACGTAAAGGGAATGAACATGGGCCTGTCAGCCGCCTCCAGCTGGCTGGTTCGACCAACCAGCCGCCCCGTTTGTATACGGGGACGTGTCTTTTCACCTGGCGAAGACCATTGCCAGGTGCAAAGACATGCCTTCCAGCTGACGTTCCATTGCGAGGTTTGCCTCTTGGACAGTGCTGGGCTGCATGCCGGCGGCCTCCATTCTCCAGAGCAGCTCTGACGCCTTGTGTCCTGACGCTGATCGATTGATGCACACACAGATACTAAGGATGCTTGGGTTGTCACTAGGTGAATTCACATATTCATCTTTATGTGCCGAATCCGTATCTGTATCAGGCAGAATAGGGGAGACATGTTCGCCCCCACCCAGACCCACCCACCTGGTCACACAATAGCTGCCTTTTCTTGTCGCACTCCAGGGGGCGCCCTTAATATGTGCACAACAAGATGCCCTCTGCTCATCTCTTCTATCCTCCCTTACTCTCTTTCTATGTGTCTCTGTCCATGGATGTCGTCGCGCTCGTTCTTGAAGCGCCCATCCGAACAGAAGATCGATGAACATCAGACAAACATACTGGCTGGCTGATACAGAGCAGCAGGAGCCGTTAGTGGACAGGGCGGCGTGTGGCTGTTCTTAGTGAGTGACCTTCTTCTCGGCCAAGCCAATGATGAGTGTAGTCCTTGGTGTCTTGAGCCGCATTGAAACAGATCCGTGAACGCCGCCGCAACCCAACCATACACAGACACCAAACAAAACATGTACACATTCGTCTCTCCACACACACAGACACACACACCTTGCAATGCAGAGCTTGTCACACGTGTGGCTTACCTTACCGAGGCAGGAGACAGAAGGGAGACAGACACCCCAGTCAGTCAGTTCCTGCCGACCTCCTTGGGCTGGGCGGCATCCGTTTGGCCAGGCAGGCGAGGCGCTGAACATGGTCACTCACGGGTTACCCGTGAACAGCCGTCAGGATCACCTGCACTCGGTGGGGAGCACATCAACTAACAGACACACATATCTGTGTGTTCATCCTCTCTTTCTCCCTTCCTGTTGCGTGTGCGGTGAAAAATGCCCACCAACTGAAAGCAGCCGCAGCTTATCGTCCTCCTCACGGCTGGCGTCCGTCAGGTCTGATGTCAAGTCAAAGCAGCACTTCTACCATCATCATTGTGTGTGCCAAACACGTACCTGAAAGATAGTCCTCGTGGCGAGCAGCTCCGTTGGCGCCATCGTAACGCGGGTCCCTATATAGCGGCCTGCCTGCATCTGAAGGAGCGTTACGAGCAAACAGGCCAGACAAGCAGAGACAGGCACACACAGAGTGGAAGAGATGTGAAGGACAGAATTGAACATGTGTGTGATCCTCTTTCTTGTGTCTGTCTTCACGACGTCGTGCATACCTGCGCGGGAGGTAATATCGCCGTCACAAATGCAACCGTACAAAGCCTCTACGCCAACAAACGACAAAAGCCCACAAGCAACAAGAGCTAGCGTGCTACACAAACATACATACACATGCATGCATGCACGGTTGGCGGTCTCCATTCAGTATATTCTTCATTCATTTTGTGTGCGAGCGTGTGTCTGTGGGGGAGCGAGGAATTAGTCGGATTGATTTTGATTGAGGAGAGAAGGGGGAAGGCTGGAAGTGCTTGTTGCCGTGGCGTTGAATCCGTTTCCGCAAGTCGGGGCTGGGTTTCGTTACCATTTGATTGAGTGTTGCGTAGAAGGCCACGGGGCGATGAGGCGATGGGCTTCGGTCGGGAGGTGAGGAGAAGAGTTTTGGCGCTCTTTTTTGATTCTTTTCTCTCTCTCCCTCTCTGTTTCACAGAGACAGACGATGGCGACTTGCGCGGACTCGCCTTGTCGACGGCGGCGCTACACACATAATGTGCCCAACTTCGCAAATTTATTCCCGCTCACCAGCTGTTTTTTCTTCCTCCTGGAATGGAAAGAAATGTCTGTGCAGCAGCAAAGGCAAAATTAGCGTCAGTACTGACTCAGTGAGTGTACACAGAACACCTGATCCACTGAATGCTTCATTCACCTGTTGAGGACTCCGTTGAGAAAAGGAGACGGCCATCAAAACAAAACCCCAAAATCTCATCTGCACACAAACACGCCAGCACGGCACATGAGATGGCCACAGCAATGAAACGGGCCACGCAGTCATCCTCGGACATCATCCACACACCACACCAGCACCGCAGCCAACCCAAAGATATGACACGTGTGCTCACCTGAGAGAATGTTCAAAGTTTGAAGACAAAAGAAGGCGTCCGCGCTCTCAGCTGACGCCAGACAGGTGTCAGGCAGTCACCACCCATTCAGCAGAAGCCAGGGCGCCACCGGCCAAGGCCTCCCTCGCGGCACGGCGGTATAGAGAGGGAGCGGCAGACGACATTCGGACCAGTTGAGGGGCGACCACATAAGCCAACGATCACTCACCAAGGGAGGAGAGAGCCTCAGGCTGAAGCCACATTCTGACGGGCGGGCGGGTCAGGGGCGGTCAGGTGGACTCGTCCTCTTCGAAAACGGCGAGCGGAGGGGGCTGCGTGGGCCTCGGGCGGATGGCGCCCGACGATTTCCGCTGAAAAAGGAGAAAAAACGAAGAAGATGTGAGGCGAACAGTGAGGAATGAGGAGACCTGGCGTCGAAACTGTCCGCTGCTTCTTTTTTTTGAGAAGACCGTCTCGAGTCGGCGAGAATTCGAATTCTCGCCGCGATCCTCGCCACAAGCTCGCAGGCTTTTGGAAGCAATAGAAGATACTTTCGCAGCCTAGCAAAGCAAGGCCTCGTCATTCATCAGCAAGGACACGGCAGACACCAGCAGTAAAGCGGCTGACAAGATGCTGCTGAATGTCGGCGGAATGGTAATGGAGTTCCATCGTCATCAGCTGCTCCGCTGTGGTCTGCGGGGCACGTGCTTGGCTGTGCTGCTAAACCGCTTTCCCGGCTGGCTGCTCACGGACGCCGAGGGCGTTCACTTCGTCGATGCGGACCCCTTCTACTTCATCTGGTGAGCGGGAAAGGGCATGCAGTTGACATTCAGTGGTGGCCACTGCTCCATTTTGTGTGTGTGTGTGTGGTGTGTGTGTGTGTGTTGTCAGGTTTACCGTCATGCTCTACCTGGGGGACCGCATCGATGTGAGTGAGATCTGTGAGGGCTGCCCTTCTGCATTCCCCTTCTACCACGACCGCTTCTTCGCCAAGACGGACCTGAACACCGAGCCACAGACCGGCGACCACGAGGGTGACGCCTTCCGGCAGTTCATGGCTGAGATGGGCGCCTTCATCCACTCATCGGCGGGCGGGACGAGTGGGAGTGAGGTGCTGACCGCCCGTGTGGATGACCTGACTGTGGCCACAACCGACGCCACGCTGGACGACTTCGACACACTTCACGAACGATTCAGCAAGTGAGAGAAGGGACACACAGGGGCAGACATCAGATGGATCCATGGTTATCGCTTTGGCTGCTTGTGGATGTATGTGTGTGTGTGTGTGTGTGCAGGTACCGAGGGCCGGTCGTAGACGTATCCGCAGACCACCTCCGCAAGTAATAATATGACGATCCTGACACACTGTCAGGGACACATCGATCCATCTGTCTGTGGCGTGTCAGGATCGTCGATTACCTTCGTCGCATTCGCATCGCTTCCGACGCCGCCATCCCGCTCCCGACGAGCACTTCGCCTGGCGAGCTGCTGTATGCCTGTGAGATGTACGGCCTCATGGAGCAGGTGTACCTGTCGATGATCGGCAAATCGCACAGCCACATCCAATGCATCCTCAAGTGAGCCACAAGACCACACACACAGCACACGGGCCGGAGAGATAGGATAACGCCCCTTCTGAGTGTGTGTGTGTGTGTGTGTCAGGAGCTCCCATGACGACTGTGAGTTTCACACATTGGTGCAGCGGGCGGAGGGTCTGCAAGGCGGCCTGCTGTTCGTCGTCGAGAGTGAGCGTGAGGCCCGCCGCCACCGCTTTGCCTGCCACATCGACGGTCCCCTCATCGCCCCATCAGACCCCACAGCTGAGCTGTGCACCGGCTGCCCCGTCACCTTCTACTCCATCAGCGGCGCGTTCGAGGAGGCCGACGGCATCGTCAAGATCGCCATACCCAACGACCAGCAGTGGATGACTGTTGCCGGCACACAGGGGACGGTCACGAACACCGACGGTGTGCTTCACTGCAAGGTGGCCATCGGTGGCGGTCGCCTGTGGCTGGGGTGTGCGAAGGATCGGCCGGCTGGCGACCTGCGCCGCTGCGCGCAGTGGGTCAAGAGGATCGAGCTGCCCGTCGGCAAGACGTATCGGGGCGGCTTCTTCCACGACAACGGATACGCCACTCTGGCGACCAGTTTTGGCTTCACATGTGCGGATATGGAGATCTACACTCTGCAGGTGAGAAGTCGGACAGGGGAAGGGCGAAGGGTCTGTGTGAACGCCTTGGATGACCTCGTGTTTCTGCTTCTGTGCCTGTGTTCAGCCTGATTGTGGCTGGGAGTGGCTGAGGGCTGTGGCGGACGTCTTGCTCTCGCCATCGACGTGAGAGCTGTCGAGAGGGCTTGGTGGGGATGTGCCAAGCTCATGACCTTTTTCGTGTGGCCGCGTGTGTGTATTTATCTCTCTGCTGCTGCCGTGTGGGGAGAGGTCTGTCTATCGCAAAAGGCATGTATACGTGTTTGCCTGTGCCACCGCTTTTGTCTCGGTCTATCCACCCTCTTGCTGCGTCCATCATCAGTCGTATGGCACGTGTGCACGTCCTTTCCCCTGTTTGCCTAGCCTGGTACATGACGTATTGGTGGGTGGATCTCGGTGTCTCTCTACCTCCGCGTGTGTATATATGTGCTCTTTATCCACCTCCTTCCCTGTCTGTCTGTCTGTCTGTCTGTCTGTCCTGCGCTCGCCTCGCACCCGTCACCTACGCAGATGGCCAAACCCCTCTGACAGTCAGACAGCACAGCCAAGCCAATACTGCACAGATATTTCCATCATCAAACAACGCGTGCGGTAAGACAAAACGTTCGATCACGATCTTATGAAAGAGAAGAGGAAAAAAGTCAGCAGTGATGTGTTGCTTGCAGTACTACAGACATGTTAATATGTCGAGAAGCTTCGTGTTTTTTTGTCACGTTTGGATCAGTGACCATTAAACTGATGTACCCTAAAGCGGCAAGTCCGCGAATTGGGCTAGTGCCCGATTTGCGTCTTTAAGAAACAACACGTCCGGTCAGACAAAACGTTCGATCGCGATCGTATGGAAGAAAAAAGGGAAACCGGTAGCGGTGGTGTGTTGCTCGCACTACTACAGACACGCCAATATGTCGAACAGCTTCATGTTTTTGTCACGTTTGGATCAGTGACCGTCAAACGGATATGCCCTAAAGCGGCAAGTTATTGGAAAAGCCTTGGCTGTCAGGACGTCTAGGGTGCTACATGAAACCGCTGATGCTTGAACAAGGGCATCTCTGGGCGCGAACTTCTTAAAAAAGCAAGATCCGTAACGGAAGAAGCATCAACTGACTGAACACACGAACGCGCCAGTTTGTGGTGGATGGGATGTTTCTCCTTTGTCCGTTCATGCAGCTGGTTGAGCTTGGTCCTTCTTGGGTGCCTTTTCGCAGGTCCCTCAGTGCCGCATCAACTTTGTCGAGCTTCTGGCGGTTAACGAAAGAGATCTCGCTGACTATCGTGCAGTGGACTTGGTAGTGGATATGCTTGCAAGACTCCTCTCTGCAAATGCGGTCAGCATCGACTGTCTGCTGCTTCCCGCTTGGCGCCGCAGCCTCTTCTCGCCACTCTCGAAGTCATCGAAGAGGTGCAGGAGGGAATCGACTGTCGAGCCTTCGGTGTTATCTACAGCCACACCGGTAAGTGCCTGTACTAAGCCTTCACAGCTTTCATGACGGTCTTGCCGGTGCCGCCCTCGCCGGTCAGGCACATGAGCAATGGCGCGATGTATTTGTTGTCCCGCAGGTCTTTGTAGTGGTTCAGCAAGTGGCTGCAGATGATTGGAACGCCCGCATCTGCTCTTCGTTCAATCGGTAACGGCTCGCCCACTGGACAGAGAAGGTCCTGTCGTCGACCGTCTCAGGCGGCTTGAATGCGGATGCCGGCTGCGCCAGCAGTCGAGTGAGGCTGGCAGCATCTATCGAGTGACCACCGTGTGTGAAGAGATTCGACTCGAAGAGAAGCTACTCAGGGGGCTTGCTTCATCTGACGTGGCGCGGCTGTGGCCGATTTCATTTACCTTGTTGCGTTGCTGGTGCAAGTCATCGTTGGGCTGACCCTGGCGGCTCCCATTTGATTGACAAGCCGATTGACAGTCATCGAAGGCAGTCTTCAATAGCCCCTTCAACAGGCGCGCTAGATTGATACATGTCTATGAATGAATGGCGCTGTCTGAGTAAATGTGGGGGCGGTGAGCGTCATTCTCACACTCATTCATGTCATGATTGATGTTCCATAGCGGTCACGACGCTGGTCATTGACGGACCTCCACTTTTGATGACGATGACAACAGGGAGGGCATTGATGATAGCTCGTCATATCATCCGCCCGCCCTGTCACCTTCGCAGCCAAAAGTATGGATGTCCACCAGTCACCACCACCAGCGGAGGCATGCATAACGGCACACTCGTCTCCTCATTCACATCCATCCATCCATCCACACTATACACACAGCCCCCACGAGCCCTTCTCTCTTGCTGTCTCCTCTCCTTTGCCCATCAGTCATGTCTGTACACACACACACACACCAGCCCCCAGCTCTTCGTCTGCCCCTTCACTGACTCCCTCGTTCATCGTTGATCGGTCATGTTTGCATGATCTCGCTTCCCATCGAACACCGGCACGGCCCTCGCATCCTTAGCCGACACCCCCTGCAGCAGCACGGCTGGCGACCTTCGCGTCACCTGGCTGAAGAGGCCCCGCGTGTGTCTGTTGCCAATGGGTGAGAGGAGGCAGTCGGTCAGCAAGAAGGTCCACACGCCGTCGAGCGCCTTGTAGCCCCACACCCTGCCCTGGACGAACAGCCATGACAGCAAAGCGCAGCCATCAAGCCATCCATCCATCTGGGGTCCCCTCCTCACTGCTCACCGTGAGAGTGTACTTGAGGCGTCTGTCCACGGAACGGAAAGCAATCTCGGCGGCCTGAGGAAGCAAACGACACTCGTGAGGCAAGTGCGTCGCGCTGGTGTGTGTCTGCCTGCCGACCTCATCGAACTGTGGCAGTATTCTGTTCATGAGTTTCTTGACGTCGAGGTGCGGGTATTCGGTGGAGAGCTCGTAGAGCACCTGCATGAGCGCACTGCCGAGGGCCGTGTGGCGGTACACCGACCTGCAAGAGGTGCGCTCGCGGTCATCCAAGTACATCGGTAGGCAGTGACCCAGAGCAAGATCTCAGGTATTCATATTCATATCTCATTCATCTTATCTCAGCGCCTTTTCTCCTCCCGCCATATAAGCTCGCGACCCGTTTTACGAAGAACGTTCGTCTCTATCCCACAACCCCCAGTTCCGCCTGGCGCTCTCTCTCGCCGAGTGTGTCTTTTCAAGGCTTAGCAGGCGTCACGTGCTCAGCTACGACACCTTCGCAGCGAGAAAGTAACAATAGCAATCGTTCATCCTGTTGATCTTTCGTCTGTGTGTGGAGGATAGGATGGCGAGCACCTCCCCAGCAACCCGGGATCTTCGTCGCATCCAGTGCTGCCTCAGGACACACCATGCCGCGTCGCCACTTGCCCAGCCCGCCAGCCCTCCGAATTATAAGGAAGCTCAGCCGACCCGCACAGCTGGCGGCAGACGAAAAACAGTCGAATGGTCCTGCCCATGGGATGCGTCTGAGCGGCTGTCGGCGTGGCGCAGCCGGGTCCATGAATGCATGAGGAGCGACCCCTCTTACCGGTCTTGTGAGGACTTTGTGGCGGGGCACTTCTTCGAGCTGTCGCCGAGCGAGGTCGTAGAGGTGTTCCGGCGGTTCGTCGAGAGCGACACAGAGTTTCTGCCTCTGGTGCTGCTGTGGCGGGTTAAGAGGATCCTCCCGCACCTCACCGGGACGGAGCTGATGCGACTCGTCGAGGCGGCGGTGCGGCTCCCTTACAGAGAGCACGACAGCAAGAGTAAGCAGACAGGCAGACAGACAGACAGACAGACAGACAACCAATGCGCACCTACATGGCATGGACCTCTTGATGCTCGTGTGTGTCTGTTTTGTGGTGTAGGTGAGGACATCTTCACGATGGTCATCCCCTTCCTAATCCCCCGGCTGCCGTCGCTCGCTCTGTGGGAGCTCAACACGGTGGCCTGGGCGTACGGGAGGGTGCGTGTGAGGCATCTGCCGCTCTTCCAGGGCATCAGCGAGGCCATACTCCTGGCGCTGCAGAGGGAGGGCACCGTCATGCGCTCTGAGGGGGCGGTGCTCAAATTCTTCACTGCATGCGGTGCGGTGGGCGAGCCAGACAGATACACAGAAATTAAACGCCACATCCATCCATCCATCAATCTCTCTCAATAAATTTGTTGGGTGTGTGTCTGCAGGTCAGCTGCACATGCGGCTTGTGCGTGAGATGGACCGGCTGCTGACCCTGCTCATGGGCCCCCTGCAGCGGTCTCAATCCTTCACCGCCACCTCATTCTTCGCTCAGTTCTGCACCAAAATGGACTTCGAGAACCATCCATTCTTCCTCGCAGCACTCGACAAACTCACAGGTGCGTGGGCGGGCGGCAGACAACGGAATGAAGCAATGTCAATCAATGCCGGGAACGTGTGTGTGTCCGTGTGGGGGGCCACAGACTTCCCCTCTCTCGCCGAGCATTGTCCGGTGCTCAGCATCCAGCAGGTGGCCTTCGGACAGATTCTCATGCCCCTCACGTTTCGCCCCCACATCCACTCGCAGCTCAAGGACAGACTGCTCGCCTCGCTGCTCGAGCACCTTGCTGTGACCTTCCCTCTCGAGCGGCCGCTCACCCACACCGAGCTGGAAGAGAAGAAGCCGCCCGCTGATCGGCTGTCGCCTCACCTGCTGCGGCAGCTGCAGACTGTCGAGATGGCTGTGAGGCTGGAGAGGCCTTTTGTGATGGCCAAACTGTCACAGGTGCTATAGGCGGGCAGAAGCCGACACGCCCGCGTCTTGGCTGGCTGCACCCATTACATGGGTCTTCGTGTGTGCGTGTTTTGTGTACCAACCGTTTTGGTTGCAGAGTGCGCGTCAGTATCTGCTGATGATTCAGCAGGTGGGCCGACCCGACACAAATCACATGTCTTGTCTGTCCGCCACGTGGTGTGATTGATGTGTGACAGAGTGCGGTCGAGAAGCTGGAGCTGACGCGGGTCAGCTCCAAGCAGCACTACCAGGTGAATAATGAGTGAATAAGACATACAAGCTGGAGGGTCTCCTGGGCATGGCATGCACCTCTTTTGCTCTTTGTGACTGTCTGTCTGTCTGTGTGTGTAGGTCGAGTTGGCTCTGAAGGATCTTGAGCTGCCATACGCCATGGAGGTGCTCCACACGCCGTACGAAATCGGTAAATAAGCAAACAAACGAACCGAATGGATGCTCATCTCATTCACCATGCAAGTGCCAATGTGGGGTTGGGTTGAGCTGCGCTGCCCCCTGTGTGTTTTTCTTTCCTGGCGCATCGCATCAATCAGATGTGGTGTTGCGGGGCAAGCTGGGTTACAAGATGATCGAAGTCGACGGCCCTCTGCACTTTGTCAACGACACGCACGCTTACCACATCAAGACACAGCTCAAACACAGGCTCCTGGCCAAACTGGGTCAGAGAGGGAGGGAGTCACCGAACGTAGTGAACGAATGTGCTGTGGGCAGACAGGTCAGCTGCTGTCGTGCGTCTGTGTGTGTGTGTGTGTCTATGCAGGCTGGCAGGTGTACCACATAGCATGGGACGACTGGCCGGACAGAACGCACAACCGGTAGCCATATCCTCACAGGCGCAGACGAGAGCAGAGTCCACACAGAGTGCTGCTGGTTGTGTGATGCTTGCTGGTGTGTCGTGATGTGCAGGCAGGAGGCGCTTCGTCGTCTCTTGTTTGGCAGCTCCCCGCCGCCCGCCGAGCTGTCCTACTACACGCCGCTCTTTGTTGACCTGAGGGAGGCAGAACTGCCGGCATAGCTATGCATAGCCATGTAGATGGAGAGGGCGTGGCAGCCGAGGGGATGTGTGGATCTAGCTAGCTGTGAATATTGAAGAGAGAGAGCGCCCCGTCTGGCTGCCTGGCCTGTGGTGGTCTGGCTATGCAGCCGACTTTCCAGCCGGTGCGACGGAGGAGACAGGCCTTCTGCGGCTTGATCATGGCGTCGCTCGCTGGCGTCATGTCTCGACCCGGTGTGCGCAAGGCATCCGCTTTGCTGTGGCACCATCGTGTGTCGAGCGCTGTGCGGCGGCTCTTCAAGACGTAGCTGGCGGCGCTCAGCCTGCCCGGCGCACCAAACACCATCACCATGGATGGCTGGATCATCACCGTCGCCAGACGCACATGAACAATTCGCACACCTACTGGTGACGGAGGGGGGGGAGGGAGGGAGGGAAGGAGGGAGACAGAAAGGGGACCAGCAGCCCATTCTGCGTTTGCGTGTGTGTGTTGTTCGGTAGCCGGAGATACATACCGACAGGTCGGCTGTAGGAGCATTGGTTGCTCTGCGGGCAGGGCGGAGGGACACTGACTGTTGGATGGATGAGTGTCTTATGTCCCTGTTGAGCGAATCCTTCAGCCCGCCATTTTCGGCACGTTTTGGGAAATTTGCTGCATGAGGCACTTCGAGTGAGTGTAGAGGGCACGGAAATGAAATGTCCGACCCAAACAGATGCACAATTGAGGTGGACACATTAATTGTCACACGCGAAGACGCAGTCAACAGCCAGCACGACCATCCATATCCATCGCAGCCCCGCAACCATTCTCACACCGTCTCTTGGGTGTCTTGCTGCCGCTTCGGCCTTTTCCGTTTCTTCTTTTTGACCTGCACATTGACACATGGATTGGATTGACACAGACACGAGAGAGCGTCGAAAAAAGTCGGGCATGCAGCGATGGGCAGCTTTCTTGGCGTCATGCACTGCACTGGTGCACCGACCTTGTCTTCTTTGATGCCATATGCTTCCAGCCGAGACCGCGTGACGCCTGATCGAGGGAGGCATGCCCACAGACACACAGATACAGAAAGGTTCTCACACACGACAGGCGCATGTACAGGAGCGTTGAGCACCTTTCGACGTCATTTCGTTGTCCATCTTGCCAGCCTCCTGTGGCCTCTCCTCTCCCTGCTTGCGCTTCTTCTTGTGGTGAGGCGGGCCGGCGGTTGGCGGCCTGGAGGAGTGTTTGGCAGGCGCGTCTCTGCCATGCTGCTGCTGCTGCTGACGAGGTTTGCGGGAGCTGCCTTGGAACCACCGATTCTTGCCCTGATCAACGGATCGAGGTACAGATGACAGACAGGTGCATCTGGTGGTGAGGCATGGCTGTTGTAGTGTGTGGCCGCGTACCTGTCGTTGTCGGTCTGCTGGGAGGTCGTGCCTGTAGGTGGCCAGCTTCTTCAGCGAGACCACCTGGTTGAGCTCCTTATCGTCCCTGAAATACACACACAGGTACTCTCTTTGTCAGTCTTCTCGTCGTGTTTCTGGCCTACTTGTAGAGTATGTCGCGAACCGTCAGGCCGTGGCTCTCCGGATGGACCTGCGAGTAGTATGACACAATGACAAGAGTGGGCCAGGCTGCATTCGTCGCGTAGCTTCTCACCTTCTCGTACTTGAACCGCGTTGGCAAGTCGCCGCCTGAGTACAACGGTTGCACACATACAACAAGGCCATCCATCACACCACCACATGAGAGAGAGATCTTGGCAATGACGCGATGTGCGCACCGATGATGTCCTCATAGTCGAGCTGGAAATACTCATCCATGACATCGTCCATCGCACCCTGCAGCGCAGTGCAGTGCAGACACCCACACAATCAGACAGACACATGTCTGCCCGCTTGTTTGTCGCTTCTGCCGGCCGACCTTGACGGCAGCTGGGACCCTTTCGACGCCCTTCATGTCGGCGGGCGGGTGGCACTTCTGCGGCACCTTGCGGCGCACCAGCTGGTGGGGATGACGGACGTTGCTGAAAACACCCACACGCACATGTGGCGAGCCATAGGTCATTGCACTGTGATCGAATGCACCGCCGCACACGCACACACACGTACGCAGATACATACCGGAAGCAGACTTTGCAGAGGGTGAAGTTGTCGCACGTCAGACAGTCAAACCTGAGCGAGCAACACGATAGGATAGACATACGGATGGATGGATGGATGTATCCACAGGCACTCCCTCTCTCGCCCATACGGTAACCTTTTCTGCCCGGCCGGTATGCCCTTGCCGCACTGGTCGCACATCCACCACTCACCGACCTCCTCCTCGCCCTGCTGCTCCTCGGCATCGCCATCGCCAATGGGAGCCTCGCCCTGATCCTCGCCCTCACCTTCTCCCTCGCCCTCCCATTCCTGCGCCTCATCCTCGTGTCCATCGGCTGCATCAGCTGTGTTGTCATGTGGGTCACGCTTCCGTTTGCGGCCCTTGGTGGCGTCGCTGTTGCCGAGAAGGTCGTCAAAGCCACTGGGGGGCTGGACTGAGGAAGCGACCAACAAGGAGAGGGATGCATGGATGGATGGATGGATGTGTTGCTGCTGACTGTCTGTCTGTCTGCTGCTTACGGAGCTGTTTGTCAGGGACCTCTTCTTGACGGTCGTCGTAATCGTCACCAAAGAGGGCCTGATGGTGCACGCACGGAATGCAGATAAGGGCAGCAGCGATCTGTCCCTGCTGATGTCTGGTTCGTTAGTTACCCATTCACCGATCCACCGACCTTCATGGTGGCTTCGTGTTGCGCCTCGTCCCAGTCGCTCTCCAAATCAATGCCCGACACATCTGAATGAACACCGCACACCAGATGTCCACACCATATCATGATTCTCGTCTAGGGGAGCTGTCTGTCTGTCTGTCTGTCCGTCCGTCCGTCGGTACCAGCGTCTTTGTTGCCGGTGATTTGTGTGATTTGTCTGAGTCTCTCCTGGATCTCCTGCTTCTTGAGGTTCTTGAGGCGCTTCAACTCCTCGTCACGACGAACCTGACAGACACCACACAGACACCAAGCGGATTCATTCCTTCATGGGTGCAGCCAGCTGTGTGCTTGGGTGTGTGCTGACGGACCTTTTCTTCTTGCTTCCTCTGTTTCTTCTGTGCCCTCTGTTGTTTCCGCTTGTCGTCTCTCCGTCGGACGGACGCCTCGGGGAAGCGCGGGTGGCTCTCTATCTGCCCCCCGCCCTCCTCCTCGTACCTGCACACAGACAAGCAGACAGACAAGCAGCCAGGCAGTTAGTGGGATGTGGGTGGGTGCGTCCGTGTGTGTACCTGAAGTTGTATTTCCTCTCGAAATCGTCGACATCCTCCAGGTGCTCCTCCTCGGCATCCTCGTCATCGCCACTAGGGACACACAGGCACCAACCCCCCCCCCCACACAAGGCTCATATGATAGATATCGTGCCCCCTCGACCCAGCTAAGCATACATACCGCCTCCCTGTGCTTACTCTTTCGCCTGCGGCATCCTATTGCCCTCCAGCCAGCTGATGACGACAACACAGCGTGCCAGTCATTTGTGCGCCGAAACACACATGTGTGTGTGCGTGCGCATGACTAACCCCCTGTTGAGAATGTAGTCTCGCAGGAAGACCTCGTTTGAATCCAACTCCTCGTCAGGCGCTGAACACACACCACACACCACACACCACACACTGAATGACTCCTCGCATGAAGGCCCCGCCCCGCCCCACCCTGCACCCACCCACCCCAGTAGTGGCTGAGGCTTTGCATCTCATCCTTCGGTCCCTTCCTCGACTCCCGCGACAGAAACCTCTCGTAGTCCCGCTCCTCCTCCGCCTTGTCGGCCGCGCTCTTCTCCTTGAGCTCAAACAAATCACCCTCCTCAGAGCCGCTCGCATCGTCGTTGTCATCCTGCTGCTTGGTGGCAGCGTCGAGGAAGGCCTTCTTGAGCTCGTGCTGCTCCTCCACGTAACTCCTCTCGTTGGTGGCCGCTTCCGTGTGTCGGCTGTCGATCTGCTCCTCCTCGTGGGTGAACGCCTCTGCGCCGCCCTCCTCGAGCGTCTTGCGCACCAGGTCCTTGTACGTCAGCGGCTTGGCCTTCTTGTCGGCTGCTGCCGATGCATCCTGCTCGTCCTGCTGGAAGTCCTCCTCGCTGAAGAAGGTGTGTTTGGCGTCATAGATGGCGGGATCCTTGCGCTTGATGCGCTCGAGTGTGTCGAATATCTTGCCCTCGAGCTTGTCTGTCAGCAGCTCGGCGTCCTCGTCCTCCTCCTCAGAGGTGTCATCTTCCTCGTCCTGCTGCTCGAGCAGCTTCCGCGCCTTGCTGAGCTCCTCCCGCCGCTTGCGAACCTCGTACTGCTCGGCGTACCGCTCGTTGATCCGAAGACCGTCGGACGGGTCAGTGGCGCCGTCCGCGTCGCCCAGGATGTCATGCCGGGGCTGTTTCTTCTTGGGACGAGGCATGCCGATGAATCGGAATCGGAACAGCTGAGCTGAAATCGCAACAGCGGGGTTATGAAGATCTTGCAGATCCGCATGCTGTACCACACATCCCTGACCTTCTTAGCTTCTCCTTTCTCTTCTTCTTCTCTCCCTTCCCCGCGAGCTTAGCAGGTGCTTGTTCCGTGAAACCGCTCTACTCAAGCTCTGGTCTCCGTCAAGCTGCCTTTTGCAGATCTTGCCTGCGTCCTGAATGCCGCTGCGGATGTAGAGGAACAGATCCGTGCAAGCAGGGCACCCAGCGCGTGAAACCCTCGATTGTCTTTCGGTGTTCCTTCGGATACAATTGATTGACCTTAGCTGTCACTGAACTGACAAGCAGCCGGTTCTTGATTGAGAAAGATTTTGAGACCTCCAAAGATGGCACCTCCGGCAGCCCTGGGCCAGGTGCGTCTGCTGTTCTGAACTGACACACGACACGAGGCGGGACATCCACACGCTGTATGTTTCTCTGTGTGATCATGCATTGATTGATTGATTCCTCCAATGCAGGCACTTCCCGGCCCTTTGGTGACAGAGGAGCCTCTCTTCGGCATCAGCCACATCAGCACTGAAGTGGTACGCCTTGACCCTGCTACATGCCATACATCCTATGCCATGCACCCGTCTCTGGCTTCTCTCGCTCTGTGTGTGTGTTTCATTCAGAGGAATGTGTGGTACCCGATCGCTGTTGAGCATGAGGTGCCGCGAAAGAGCGCGACGACCCGGCCCATTGGCACCCGGCTGCTTGGGGAGCCCATAGCCATCTTCAGGGACGAGCACAACGTCGTGCGCTGCCTGGCCGACAGATGCCCGCACAAGAACGGTCCGTCACGGTGGTAGCACGGAAACACATCCCTGCGTGTTGCCCGCCTGCCTGGCTGCAGCCAAGTTGTCTGTTGGGCGCGTTATGGATGGGAAGCTCGAGTGCTTCTATCACGGCTGGCAGTTTGATAGCAAGACGGGCGAGGTCGACCACATCCCCTTCCTGCTGCCTGACAAACAGATACCCCCACAGGCTAAGAGCAAGGTCTATCCGTGTGTGGAAAAGTACCATCTCATCTGGGTGTGGCCAGGTCAGACAGACAGAGACGACAGACAGACAGGCCCTTCAACCGGCCGGGCACTTTGTGACTGACAGCCTGGATGGATGTGGTGTGCAATCAGGTGATGTTGACAAGGCCGACGAGAGTTTGATTCCCTGCTACCCTGAGTGGCTCGACAGCAAGCTCAACTTCTGGGGCCAGACGACCGAGATGCCAGTGGACCATGCCCTCTGGGTAGAGAACCTCATGGATCTGGCGCACACGCCATTCGTGCATGACGGCCAGTTCGCCAGGCGGTCGCAGGGGAAGCCACTTCGCTACGACACGAGAGCGACCAAGATCGGCCTCAAGGTGAGATCGGCACCAGATGGGCGAGGGAGGGTCCTGCTTCCTCAAGGCGGCTTTCATTCCTCTCTCTCTCTCTCTCTGTGTGTGTGTGTGTGTGTGTCTGTGTGTGTGTGTGTGTGTGTGTGTGTGTGATATCAGGCCGACGTTGAGTTCATCGGTGCTGCGAAGCGCGACCCCAAGCAGGCGACGGAGTGGGTGGCGCCCTGTACCAGCATTGTCCGCATCAACTTCCCGTCTGGCCGATTCCTCCACATCTTCTTCTACTCCATCCCAATGGGTAATGATACACACATAACATGCGTCTGTCTACCTGCAGCACCATGCTCACTCTTGCGTGGTATGCTATGCGTGTGTGCACTGCAGCGCCCGGAATGACCCGGTTTGTGACGACGTTCTATAGGGACTGGGGTCATACTCTCAGTTGGATGGGTCGACTCGTCACGCACACGCCCCTCCGACACATGGCGTTCCTCGCCAGCTCCGCAGTGCAATTCCAGGACATGATCGCTGTAAGCGACACACACACCGACCGCACCGTCAGTCATGAGTGTTGGTCATGGATGCTTGTGTGTCGGTTCGGTTGCCGCTGCTGTCGTCAGATGACGTCACAGACACGCAACATGAAGGAGGGGGCACCATCCCTGTCTGTGCCCATACAGGTCAGCCGGCCAGCAAGGCAACGACGGCAGGCGCCATGGTTGGTTGATGTGTGTTCCTCCCCGTGCCCTGCCCGTCTGTGGTGTGGTTCTTCCCATCCCATCATGCAGTGTGACGAGATGGCGCTCATGTACCGACGATGGTATCAGAAGGCTTTCATGAAAGACGTCTGGTGGAAGGGGTAAGTACACACACGCACACACACACACACATGCATGTGTGTGGGATATGCGTCAGTCACGTCTGTGTCCATCCTGCACTGTCCATCAGTTGGACCGGCGATTTGGACATCGAGGACCTCACCGAGTCCGTCGGCCACTCGTGCTTCGGGGCCGACTCATGCGGCCAGTACGAGCGCGACATCTCCCGTGCACACAACGCCCAGCCATATGTGGAGCGGTGGGCCTTTCTGCACCACAAGGCGGACCCTTTCAAGCCATCGTGGGCTGGGCAGGCGGCCCTTGTGCTGTCTGCCGGCGCTATTGGGGCGCTGGGGGCGGTGGTGGCCGTGCGGATGGCCAAGGCTGCTTAGACGGATAGATGGCTGGATGGATGTGTCCGTGGTGTGCTGCCGTTAATGCAGCCAGGCTGCACTGACGGACGGCCGTTAATGCAGCCAGGCTGCACTGACGGACGGACGTGGCAGTGACGATGAACGGAAGAAAGCCTTTCATGCTATGTGGTGTGTTGTGTTGTGTACTGGATAGTGCGCTACCTGCCATTTGCCGTGCTGATCTATCTGCCTTTTTCGTTGATGCGGACTGACTGGCTGATGGATGGCATACACACATGCATTCATAGTGTACCTTATGCCATTTTCCTGGAGACCATTATCCACTCTTTCGCACAGACTCGCCGACATGCGTGCACTGCACGTGGTGTATACTGACTGCGGTGCCATACGGCATACTGCCTGATACATACCCGGCCCGAACTGTGCTCATCCCTCATCTTTTTGAAGGCCAGACCAGGGCAGTGAGTTAGTGGCGTGTTTGTGGATGTGTGTGTGTTGACGCCACTGACTAATTCATTTGAACACGTCGACACATGGACACGTTGAGCGCGTGGATGGCTGGATGGGTGGATGGCTCATGTGCGTGCGGTGACGGACTCTCAGAGAAGACAAGATGCTGTGGTGTGCGTCAAAATATCGAGTAGCATGTCATTGATTGAAGTACTGAGTGAGTCAGTGGCACACCCCCGTCTGTCGACACCCAGCCACGTCTCTCTCTCTCTCATGACCGTCAAAGTATACGTACAGCAAACTGTTCAAATGCATTACCATACGTCAAGGCGAAGGGACTGCGATAAAAAGCACAAACCAACCGAGTAAGAAGCAGCTAGCGGAGGAAAGGGCCAGGCCACGCAAAGCGATCTAGCCTGCCTGATGCAACAATATCTTCATTCCATGCAGTCGCCCATCCCTCGACGACTGGAATGGGAGTGAGCAAGCGATTCTGCATACACGAGAGAGGTGGGACGGACAAGACATGGTCATGGGTGGACACACGGGGCACACAGATGGACAGACACATGACCAACATCCCACCGCATGAATAAAACACTGCCGCACAGCTCTAGCTACGACGCCGCTCACGGCAACAACACTTCTCACTAAGACGATCGACCAACAAACACCTACACTGTAAGAAGACACTGTAACAATCACATCACACCACATCACATCACAACCGTGCTTCCCATCACGCCATGGGTCTTGTCCACCAATCGGACGGGCGAAAAAATGCTGTCACTTGTTGTTGTCGGGGTGGTAGCGTGGATTCTGCTCAGGCGGCGTGTGCTTCTCTGCAAACAAACAAACACACACACACACACATTGCAAACACCAAATACGAGCATTGAGCATGTTCTCTCTCCCGCCCGCACCATGAACAATCTTGTCCTCCTTGTCGAATACTCGGAAGTCCGTCGAGCCATCTTCGTTCTGCTTGAACCGGCTCTCGGTCCTGCCCTCCGCGTTCTTGTTGTCGTACTCGAACTCGCCTCCGGCTGCTTTGCCAGGGCCGTGGTGGATCCAGTCGTTGCCTTGCTTGTTGGTGCCCTCGCGTTTCTCGTCTGACACGCGGGGAGGCTTGCTCGGCTCCTGACTCGACATCTCTGCCAGCAGCGGTGGCGGTTTTGGGCATGCCCTAAACGATCAAGCTCGCAAGCGTCGCTGCGTGAAACAGCCTCTGTTCGCGTCTTCTTCCCCGTTCCGACGTGCGCAGTTGATGCTGAGAAGGTAGTCTGGCGGCTGAAAACCCAAAACAATGCGGTAGAAGCGCGAAAAGCCGCCACTGGGTCACAATGCGCAGCTCCGGGCATCGTTGATGCGTTGTGTGGCGTGGGCGGCTTGTGGTGTGTCTCACAGGTGCGGTACTGCTTGGATAGCTCAACGGTAGTACGTGCGGACTTGGATTCCGCCAAGGTGAGGCGGGAGGAAGGACGAGAGGATGAGGCAGCAGCAAGAGCTGAGGGGGCGTGTTGACACGTAGCGACGTTCACAGAGGGTCCATCAGACGCCTCCCGCACCCCTGAGCACCTCCTGTTGTGTTATGATGGTCAGGCCGTTACCCACCCTCCTACGGCGTGAGGGGAGGCAGTGGGCGCCCTTTCTGCTGTGGCCCTATGAGTTCCCTGGCGCCAGGCTCTGCCTGCGGCCCCTCCCGCACCCGATCCCGCCGTCCCCTGGTCCCCACTCGGTATTTGGATTTCGAGTGCGCCACGGCCGCTCTGCAGGAGGGTGACGATAACCTTAAGGGCGGTGGTGAGGACGAGGAGGTGGTGACCAAGGAGGAGCTGATGGCGGCCGAGGCTGAGGAAGAGGAGGAGGGCGGCAAGTCGCCCGTCAGGGGCACTGACGAGGCCAAGAGCACCATATACGGCGTCTACTTCCATGAGCAGAAACACGTACGTACAGTACAGTACAGGGAGGCAGGCATGGGAGAGATGAGGGTACCCATGAGCTGGGCGGAAGGGATGGGCATGTGTGGCTGTTGTCTTGTGTTGTCTGTGTTGTGTCTGCAGGAGTGGCGGGCCCGATACATAGATGGGTGTGGCGATCGCAGGATGAAAACGTTCTCAACGAATGTATACACACACCACACCGCACCCACGCATCCACACGCAACACACACCCATCCCTGTCTGTCTGTCTGTCTGTCTGTGGTTCAGAAATACGGTTTTGCCGAGGCCAAGCGTCTGGCTGAGTCGTGGGTCAAGGACTACGGGAGGAGCCTCCCGGACCCCAACACGTCCCGCAAGGCCAACCCCAAGCGCCGCAAGCACGGCAAGTCCGGCGGAGCCTCACGCAGATCCAGGGCCGCACTCGCACTCGCCGCCCAGCCCCCTCCCGCCACCACGGCGTCGCCTGAGGAGATCGCCCGACTAGACGAGGCGCATAAGTGCGTCAAGGCGCTCGGCCTGGAGCTGTCCGCCGACCAGGTGGAGAAGGCGCTGAGGGAGGGCCTAGACTTCCAGATCCTCATCGAGCAGCGGGCTCGCGGGGCCGTCAAGACCGACCTAGATGACACCACTGCGCCGGGTTCAAGCGAGGGCAGCGGCAACACCCAGACTGATAACGAGATGATGGTCGAGAACCAGAGCAACAGCAACGACGAGTCTGGCGGCGGCAAGGAGGGCAACGGCCTGCCCCCGCGGCAGCGCCTCCTCCCCCTGCTCAAGCAGGGCAGCAGCGAGGGGCTGTCGACCATCGGCGGCCGCACGGCTGCCCTCATGGCCACAGAGACCCTCATGTCGTCTCGTAGTGCTGGTGCCAAGGAGGACCTGCTCATGGGAGGGGCGGCCAACGGCCGACACGACCACGAGTCGAATAGCCCTAACGTGCTCGCCAACGCGCCCCTGCTGTGCCCGTCATCCCCGCCCGGCAACACGACCGAAGACATCTCGCCCTCCAGCGGCATGGGCCGGCTCTCGTCGGCCCCCCCACTAGACGCCGTGCAGCAGCATGGCGGTGGTAGCACTAATTGGCGGTGTGGCAAGGGGGAGGGGGAGGGCTGCGGTGAGGGCGAGGGTGCAGGAGGTGAGGAGATGATGTGCTCGTTCAAGCACAAGTGGACGGACCTGGTGGATAACGGGGGCGTTGGCGTGCCCGAGGGCGGCATGAGCCCGTCCAAGCTTGCGGCTGCCGATGGTGATGGTGATGGGAGTAGCGCCAACCCAACGCTCTACCTTAAGGTGCGTGCGTGGGCCACGAGGAAGGGGGATGGATGACACATACATAAGTGGGATTGGCCGGCATGTCGTCTGTCTGTCTGTCTGTGTGGTTGCCTTGCGTGTGTGCATCATCAATCAGGTTGCTTACATGCACGTCGATACATGCAAGTACCGATACTTCCCCTTAGAGGTACATTCTCACACGACACAGACCGTGTCATGTGCTTGTAGTGTCCATCCATCCATCCATCCGTCTGTGTGTCAGAGTGGCCGCGAGTCCGTTGGTGTCGACGCTGCTCGTGCGTTCCACCGCGAGGTAGTGAGCCGCGGGCTGGTCCCGCCGCCCGGGGCGACCAAACGGAACAAACGCAGGCGCGACTGTAAGCGACCCGACACAAGAAAGATATGGGTTTGTGGATGTATATGTGTGCGGTGCTGCGTGCGACCACCATGTGCAGCTCTCGAGTCGGGTCACGGTGTGCGTTCGCACCGCAAGGGCCGAGCACCTCCCGCCCTAAGGGTGAGCACACACACGCAGACGCATGCGCCCCCTACATGTATATGCCGTGGTTGCGTGTCTCTGTCATTTGTGCAGCGTGTTAGTTCCGGTTTGACGCAGGACGGCATCACTGAGTTGGACCACGAGATGTCGAGCAGCCCATCGCACCTTCGCCAGTCGCCCCGGTCGTCCAAGAGGCTGCGGGTAGCCCAGCCCCCCCACACCCAGCCGGAGCCGCTCGACCCAGTCATGGCCGCCGTGCCACCCCGCTGGCGAGACCTCATCGGCATGTGCCTCGTCGTCACCGTCAGCTCGGGCGGGCCGTCCGCCACGCGAGTGACGATGCCGCCCCTGCGGCCCGAGATGGTGACGCCCGTCTGTTGACCGACAGATGGCGGCGTCATCCATCCATTAGTCAGCATAAGCGGCCACCTGTGCAGAAATAGAGGGTGCTGGAGGGGCGATAGAGGGCGGGGGGGGGGCGGGGGGGTTGATTCCTTTTTGATGATACGATACATGGATGGATGAATGAGTGTGCATGCGTGTCGGTGTTGTGTTGGCGCCTGTGGCCTGGATGGATCCGTGCATAATGGCTGACCGGATGGCTGGATGGATGTGTTGCATGTCTTGCCGTGGATTTGTGTGCCTGCGTCTGCCTGCAAGTGTCTGCGTGTTTGTTGCGGCCATCCATCAGTGCGGTGGATGGCCGCGGCGCTTCTCTCGCTTCTCTCTGCTGTGACTAACTAACAGAAGGGAAAGAAACCTCCCTTCGTGTTACTCTTTCTGTCTGCCTGTGGTCTCTCGATCTGCATTGTGAAGCTCCCTGCGTGATTGAATGAGTGGACGGGCAGGGAGGTGGGCGTGGCGTAGAGGCGGGTCTCTGGGTGGGTCGCAGGCAGCGAGCAGGCGAATAGCCCTCGGTTGATCGCCTCGATAGCTGGGTGCTGGCCAGATGGGTGGAAGGGTGGGTGGGTGGGTGGGTGATGAATCTTCATTCAAACACATCCCAAGACTCTCTCTCTTTCTCTCTCTGTTGCTCGAGGTAGGCAGAAACATGCCAACCAACCAACGATCTGACTGCAAATGAACCATTCACTGAAACACCCTCTCCATGACGAATGTGTGCGTCGCCTGCCTGCCTGCCTGCCCGCTCACTTGCACGTTTGTCTCCTCTAACCTGTCTCCTCTAACCTGCCTGATTGATGCTCACCTGATGGATGGACGTGTGTGTGTGTTTTGGCGGTGACGTGATAGCTGCTGCATCTTCTACCTGATGACGACGGCCCATTGATATCGATTTCACTTACGACCTGACACAGAAAAAGGCTGTTTGTTGCAGGTAGGTGGGCAAGGGCGTGGCTTAACCGGCAGAGAGGTGATAAGACAGATGCAGCTGACGTCCACACTTGACTTCCCGACACGCCCTCAGGCACTCGCCCTGCCGACCTGCCTGTCTGCCTGCTTGCCTGCCTGCCTGCCTGCGACATGCATCGGTTTTCCGACAGCTGAGTGTCATCCTGGCTTACTGCTGTGTGTGTACGTGTACGTGTATGTTGGTGTGTGCATGAGCGAGAGTGTGTTGAAAAGGGTGGCTTGGGTTGCATGTCGGCTTTTTTGACTGGCTGAGCGATGCATGGCGAGAGATAGCCTGAACTGGCTTGATCGAACACATGCTGACCGGCATGACACTCGCACCGCACAGCACACACACACATGAGCAGAGACGTACGTACGGGCGGACACGCCTACTTGCAGTGAGAGCGGACTTGTGAGTAACTCGATGAGTGTTTTCCTTCATGCGCGTACGTACTCTGCAGATGTGCATGAATCGCAATGGTCCTGACTGCCGTTTGGGTGCGTTGACGCATGGATGGATGGGTGTGTGGGGCGAATGGATGGATGGATGGATGGATGGATGGACAATGGACGGCTGACTGAGGGTACTATTCGCCGTTTGGTATGCTGGATGGATGGGTGGGTCGTTTGTTTGTCCCTCTCTTTCGAGTGTCAGCTATTTTTCTCTACTTCATATTGACATACAGACAATCGAAGGGGCTCTTCATGTGTGCGAGACACGGTCGATATGTATGTATGTCTGTATTTGATGGATTGATTTCAAACGGTCCGACAACATGGAGCGCATTGCAAGCAAATGCAGCCACGACATGAGGAAAAGCAATTGACGCTACATGTAAGGCTACAAGGGAATCGGTGAAAAAATGTCAGTACTAGAGGATGTCTATTTGCACCACCAGAAGCGTAAGAGGGATGCCCGTCCAGCCATGAGGAAAGTAAGTGCAGGAAGGAAACGGCCTCAACAGCTGATAATACGCGTCGATATCAGCTTCTTGCCATCTCGCTTCACGATGGCATCCAGGTGCTTGATAATGTCTATTTGCACCACCTATATATCCTTTCTTGTAGCCGATGAATGATAGTGCCTGACCAAGTAATCGGTGCCTGGTGCGAACAGCCGGTATTATTGAGTGTGTCTTCACTCGTATTCGTCGCCGGCAAATTCAGCATTCATCCTGACAAGCAGCCGATAGCCACAATGATGACATACAGGACAGAGAGAAGCATGACTGTGTGTTTGTCGTGCATGGCTCTGTTGTCTGTGTCAGGTTACTCGACGAAGCCAGTGCATTGATTGGTGTACTTTGGGCATTTCATGTAAACCGCTGTTACTTCGACAGCGAATGCAGACGATGCTGATGGGTTTCGCGTTGACCTCTGATGAGTGAGACTCAGTGGTGACGTGACCATCGGCGGAGGCGTGGCCGCCCTGTCCTTTGCCGCTGTGCCGGATACGTCGGATACGGTAACTCTCACCCAGCCTAAGACAGACAGGTATTAACAGAGATATATGGGCAAAGCAATGGTGAACTGACTTCCTTCCCCGGTGAACTGACGAGCATGGGTGGTACGGCGAATCCTTTTGCCAAGCTTCTTACACCACTCGTCACAAAAAGGTCAGCTCCTGCCATGCTCAGTATCGCCTCCAGGGTGAAGTAGAAATGCTGCAGGTACTGGGGGAAGAAGACACCCACTGCTGAGTGCTGGCAAGCGTCTCCCATGTCGATTGTCATACACAACACTCAGAGAAGTGAACTGAACAGAAACGGATCCATACCCAGTGATGTTCCTCGTGTGGGTCATGAGGGCTTACGTCGACAAAGCAGGCTGCCAGCCAAAGGTGATCTGACTGCAAAGACAGAAAGGAAAGGTGCGGGATGGAAGAGAAAGAGCAGCTTAGCTGGTTATTGTTACCAGCACTGTGGTCCTTCACCGTCGAAGCTGGACATCAGACGCTGCTCGGAGTTGCAAAACGCTGGGACGGCAAGGAAAGGCCCTCTGGTAACTCAGAGAAGAGGACACATGACCCAGATGTTGAGACGAGGCACGTATGAGAGGCCGAACATTGCTTACCATCTCTTCGGACCCTCGAGTCGTCAAACTCGATAAGCCTCTTATTGTCCTGCATACAGAAAGAGGTGTTCATTTTATGGTCATATTCATTCATCGCTCTCACGTGTGGGTGGACCATGACGCACTTACAGTGCCTCCTGTTGACCACGTGTGGGGTGCTAAAATGTCGTACGTGTACGATGAACAAATGAAGCAGACAAGTTCTTGTGGTTTTGTCATTTGGGTTTTCTGGTCTTCAACGCTATTGCCTGAGATACCGAGGCATATTGAGGACAGCACGTTGACACTTTAGGCAACACACACAGAGGACAGCTGGCTGGCAAAAACTGAGAGGCCCAATGACCCTGTAAACACATAGTGTCCCACGCGTTTTACTGTCTTACTGCCAAACGGTGGCCAGCGATTTTGTGAAGCTGTCCCTGTTTTCTTCGTTGCCTCTTTGCTTGCTGAAGTGCTGTGGCGCCGCCGAAATAAAGAAGTAAGTGTTGAGGGATCGGATAGCAAACAAGTTCAAGACCGCGACTGGCAGTGACACACAAAAGAGGAGATCCCTAAAAGAAAACGAATGGCTGAAGGCCATCTCATGGCTTTCTCACGGTGATGTGGGCCGTTTTTTATGGCCAGCAGAGACGGGACCACCTTGGCGCCGTGCTTCTCAGGGCTCTTCAGCTGGTTGTCCTTGTTGCTGACGGCGATGCGGGCCAGAAGGAGACTGGCGTCCTCCTCGAGTTCCTCATTCAAAGCAGCAGGCAGGAGCTTGTCCAAGGCCTGTCGCAAGGCCACGGCCTCTGGCTGCTGACTGGCCGACGGCTCCGTGGTCTTTTGCTCCTCGTTCATCACCGCACGCAAGACGTCCAGCTGCCGGTTCACCATCTGGTTGGGGTCCCTGTCGTTCTCCACGCGAGGCATGAGCTACACCAGCAAGACGTGAAGGGACAACATTCCCGTTCCTTCCATGTATTAAGCGTGGATACCTTGTCTAGGTTGTGTACGATGGCCGGGTACTCCGTCTCGGCGAGAGTCTGCCTGTTGCTGGCCTGCACAGCCCCAAACAACCAATCACCCCCACCGGCAACCGACGGCCCCCTCTTTTACGAGCGACCCCCTCTTTTACGAGCCACCTGTTTGTTTGCGTCTGTCATCGGCTCGTCTCTT